TTCCATCCTCCTTTTTACTGACTGTTGCCTAGGACCAAGCGTTGCCAGTTAAAAATCTTGCTAGACTCTTAAAAATAATTAAAAGTACCACACAAAATAGCACCATTGTCAATCACTACACATACACATACATAGACAGCTTCTCCGGAAATAGTCAGGAACCTTATAACACTGTTTACTGAGTAATAAGTTTGTAGAAGGGGTATTCTGACATTATGCATATGCAGAATGACCACCAGCAGTGTTGCATCAGGGCATGCTTTTGGTGTACACCAAAGTGAGCAGCCCTAATGAGCAAAAGGGAAAGCTGAAGAAATCCCAGTGGAAAGACTTCTAGAGTAGTTTGAGGGTTTTCCTGTAGGTTTTCTTTTCCTGTGCTTTAAGTTATAACCAAATTCTTTTCTACAAAACAATAGCAGTCTTACCACAAGTGTTTTATTAAAATAAAAAAAAGACCACCAAGGAGCAAATCCAAGACCCATTTGAACTTTTTGAACAGAGGAAACGTAACAGACCTCAGAGCTCTGCTTTGTTTTCTTTTCCCCTAATTATTCTTGTGAAGGTGTCTTAGCACTCCCTTTTTATTTATTGATAACTGCTTTGAACTCATGTGAGCTCATGTGTTGAACCATATGCTCTGTCAGATGCAGTAAATTAGTTTACATTGTCTGATCACTGTCTGTAGCCTTTAATATGTGTGGGACCTAACGAAATTATCTCCAGTTATGGGGGAGTCTTACATCAGTCAGTAGGAACATCAAATGAATGAGGACTTCAGCAGTACAGTGTTTGCTCTGCCTGGTATTTCAGAAGTGTCAAGGTACAAAACAAACCCCAAAATACAAAAATACAAGCAAATCCAAACAAAAAAAAAATGAATACACCAAAACTACAGCCCAAACACAAGCAGAGAGGCCCTTCTGCCTTGCCTTGCCTTGCCTTGCCTTGCCTTCCCTTCCCTTCCTTTCCCTTCCGTTTCTTCTTCTGCCCTCTCTCTCCCCACTCACCCTCCGTTCCCCAAAACCTTTTTCCTTCTTTCCTTCTCTCCTTCTCTCCTCATTCATCTAAAAAAAACCTTCAAACACAATTTATCACCATTCACACACATATGGAGTGCTGATTTCCCAAGAGATTCCTGGGCTCTAGAAATCAGAGGTATACTACTTAGTAGCAGTGGTGGTGGGTGTTCACTATCTTGCTCCCAGAAAGGACCTTTTTGAAGTGCCCACAGCCCTTCAACTGAAGCACAATCACTGAATACTTTGGAAAAATATCACAAACTAAAAGACAAAATTGTATCTCAAAAATCAGTACTACTATTTACTTCTCTTAAGACAGAGACCTATGTTACCTAAATTAACTAAAGTAATTAAAATGCAAATGACTGCAATTGCAGACAGATGAGAAAAATTAGCTAAATCCATATTAATTTCAAATTTATCTTGAAATATACACTCAGGCTTCCAGGCGAAATATTATCATGTTGTCAGAACTTACAAAGTAAAGAACATCACTGCATAGGGAAGAATATGCCAATATGCCTGTTCCTGAAGAGTGACAAATTTTACATTAGATGACCAGCCTAAGCCTGTAAACATGTTAAGTAATTTCAGATGTTACTGTACACTTAGCGGATATTAGAGTACATGAACACTCTTAATCAAGTGAGGTCATCAAGAAAACAAGAACAAATGTTGGATTAATTTTCCAGTCTAAGTAGGGGTAAGACTGCAGCCTTTACCGCTGTCAAACAGCCAGACCAAAACACTTGCTGGATACTTTGGCAACTTTCCACATGTTACAGATCTTCAAACGTGACACCAAATTCAAACATACTGACTAAAGACAATTTCTTATCCACCTCTGACCTGAATAAGGCTCACAATCCTGCTCACATAACTTTATGCATGTCAAAAGATGAAAACACATCCTCTTAATCATACCATCTTATTTTAAAATAGCTTTTGATGGTATTGTTTTAATAAAGGTAGTTGTGATGATTACATACAGGGTACAGGAAAAGCCTGTCTTTGAATGACTTCAGCCAATGTCATTTACCAGAAATTAGTTTGGCCCAGCATGAGTTATAAAGGCCACTTTAAATTATAATAAGGTATTTATTGCCAGGAAAGCTCCTCTCTTTAATAAAAATCCCCACTTTTCTCTTCCCAAAACAACTGAAAAAATATGATTGGTCCAAAGGTTGTAGTCTGCAAATGTCAGTATTTAATTTAAGCGGTGGTTAGATATTACTTGACTCAGAAGTAAAAATGTGTAGGTGGCAGAGTAGTAGATATAGCTGTACAAGCAAACAGATGTGAGAATACTCTGATCATACTATGATCCTGAAAGACATGTAGTAGTGTAAAATATCTGGAGTATTTCTAACATCCTAATATTTTCTAATGTGAAACAAAATGAAATACATATAGTATGACTGTAATAACTAAAAAACAAACAGAAAACAACCAACCAGAAAAGCCTGGAGTTATATTACTGTGTAACAATGTGACACATAGCCGTTCAACAAATCACAATATGTAACTGAATACTGACAACTACAGCCACATCCTTCACATGATGCAGCACGTGAGGGGGGTCCTTTAGGCCAAGCTCCACTTGTCTCTGGTCCCATTAGCATTCTGCCAGCTTGTTCCTGAACAGTCTACAGTAAACATGCAGTGCAGAACAGAAACCAGGAAAGCAAAGTTGATAGTCACGTAAGGAAAACAATTAGGGGTCCTTCAATATTTTTTGTCTCTAAGTGAGAAGTGTATTATTTTTACCCAGTTAAAATTCCACAGGTATATTGTAGACCGGAAGGAAGATATTAACCTTACTTTTTTGCAGACAGTTCAGATGTATAAGGTTATTGTCCTAAAGCAAAGCAAGCAAACCAGTAAATGTCTCCATGTTTTGCCTGCAGTCTCATTTTTTCAGGATGAAGTGAAATACCGTTGTTGCTGCAGTTACCTCTGTGTTCTTTTATATCCATGCTGGATAGAGGCTTAAATTACTTTTAGCATGCTGAACATGTTTATTTCATTCTTATTTTGAACATATAGGATGCCAATGGAAGGAGCTTCCAAACAAAATTCCTTACTGGAGCTAAATAAAAGAAAAAAACAGACCGACAGCAACAACAAAAATAAATCAAGGCTTTAACTTCTTAGCTGTCAGTCTGGCAGAAGATCTAGTCTCATCTAAGAATAATCCTAACTTAGTCAGTATAGGTTTTCAACTAAACTTCTTCAATGCACTCCAACAGGGAGGAACAAAATGATACATAATGGCAGTGTGTAGGGTCTCATTAACCTGACATGCCTGGCAAATAAGTGGATAAAACAAACTTAAAAAGCCCGGAAGCTTCTACCATCTTCAAGATCTTGAAAAACAATTTCTAAATAAAATATTATTTTTTTTTTTGAGCCATTCGATTGACCTTCACAGGACAAGACATTAATTTGGTGGTTTCCCATGTCCTTTTACTTTCCTTGTGCTTGGTATGCACTAGACATCTGGAGTGTCAAGGACTTCATTTTCAGTATATACCTAAGTGCATTGCGTTGTTTTGTTTTTAAAATTCACCCTCCTAATAAGCTTTCACCTACTCCAGGAAGCACTGGAGATCACTCGTAACACCTGCACAGCTTTGTCAAGTTCTGATGTCCGTTATCAAAGCTTTCAGTTTCTGAACATTAAAATACAAGCCTCTCCAGCCAAAAAATTGTTAGATGTCTTCTGGAAATAGCACCAGAAACTGCATGAAGGAGCACAGGTGCCAGAAAGCTACTTCTTATGTTGGTTTGCAGCTTATCAATTTTCATTACTGTACAATAAAAGAAATAATAATTTTTATGGGATAAAATACCAGCTTGTCTTCCCATTAACAATGGTTTTATAGCAATGTCTCAATTTACTTCAGCAACATTCATCTAGCTATTGCTCTCAGAGAGAAGTCTGGATGCACAGATTATAGGAGAGGTCCACTTGAAATGGCTTTCTGTTTTCTTTTGCAGAGCTCAACCCTGAATTACTCATCAATGAGCAGCTCCATCTCCAGTACCACATTACAAGATTAACTGAAAAATCCAGCCCTAGTGACTGTGAAGGTGTTTACTCTCAAGAATATATATTAAAAAAAAAAAAAAGAAAAAGAAGGAAAAAATATCAGTGTAAGTGAACTTCAGATGATAGATGAAGTTAGGGGAAAACATACAAGCAAACAAAAAATACAGTAGAACACAATAGACTAAACTTATCTGAGGTATAACTCTTGCCAGCTGGCCAGTATCTCTTTGTCAAAATATATTTAATGAGTAAAGAAAGAAACAAAATACAATATAAAATGTGTCCAAGAACATAGCAAATTGGTTCATTTGGATACATCAGTATGCCTTCTATGATGAAAATCTTCGAGATAAATTACTGATTACTGAATTCTTACCAATTTTGTGACCATTTTCATCCCATTTCTTATTTCACAGCTTTCTATAAATACCTAATGTACTATATTCCTGTGATCACAGTAAAGAAGGTACCTATATCACCATGGAAACAAGATATATGTATACATCTATGATCAGTCCTTCTCTATAGTAAAAGCCTACACTATTCGTGCAAGCTTATGGCTAATTGCTCTGCACAAGATACTTGTGTCTTATTCCTACCTACTATGTTGGAAATTCATTTCATGTAGTTGCACATAGCAAGCTGTAAAGTAGGTTTTATGGAGCCAATAATTCAGATATAATACTTGAGGAATTCCTTTTAGTTTAGATATATTTATTTTTCCAAACATTTTGTTTGAGAGAAAATGAGATTGCTATCTTCTGTTTCCTTATTTTTTTGCAGGAAAGCAAAGGGTTGTTGACTTCCTCTCCCCTCCCTTCCTTCCTTCTTTCTGAAGGTACTGTACTCATCTGAAAAAAAAAAGAGAACGAAATGATTGTTCCTGTTCTCCTTCTTAAGTCATTTGAAACACTGTCCCTGCTAGTTTTCTAAGTTTACTGCAATCTCTGCACGGGGGGAGGGAGAGAAAGGGAGAAAGAGACAGAGATTACCAACATGACAGCAGGTAGAGAGTTTAGGGCAAGACTCCTTCCAGCTTCAACAACTGGTAAGTTAAGTAAAAATGTATTTATGGTTAACTCTTTACAAGTACAAAATATATGCTTCTGTATTAAGAAAAGGCGCTAATCAGATGCACATTTAACTGATAAAAATGTAATAACCATATGCATTGACAAGGAGTATATTTATGCTATAGTTACCTATAGTCTGTTTTTTAGATACTGGTGGTAATAGCATAGTGTTTAATCAGTACAGACAAGAGAGTGTTTTCCAGTGAGGCTGATAATATTCATAACATAATCTGCTGAGAATTTTGCATATATCCTTTCTGCTACCAGAATCTTGCTTCAGGCTTCACTAACCTTATCCTGAATGTTTCAGCAAGGTTCACTGGGCCATTGCTGAAATACAGACAAAAACTTTGTCATATGCAAATTGATGTATTTCATATATCATCTGCCACTATTGAAGTCTGCTCCAACCCAGCAATCTGTGCTATCATGGGCGAAGAATTACTAGCTGTTGTTTTTTTTCCGTCAAACTGTATTGTGTTTATGATTACACATGTTTATCTCTACTCATCTGTGTGTATGATTAGTGTAAGAAGTGACTTTTAAGACATGGTAAGATAATTCCAGGTTCTCACTTGAAAACAAAAAGTTTCATGTCGAACTGAGGCTGATCACCACCACTGGTAATAGGGTGGATTCAATTTTTGTTTGTGTTTGCATTGTTGTAGGTATCAATATTTTTCATGTTGGGTTTAAATGTATCAAAGTTATCAGCAGCTGCATGTAAAATGAGTGACTGAATGCAAGCATATGTTTCAAATATCACCCCCACATAGGCTTTTATACAAGTGGAATGCAGAGGTGGGGGTAAGAATTAGGACAGGTGTCCGTTTATCTGCAAAAGGAAAACTTGGTCATCTTCTGATCCAGTATTTCTTAAAGCTGCTGCTCTCTGCAGCACAGGGTCCTCTGCAGGATACCCAGAGCTCAGTCAGAGTGTCTCCAAATGGTGAGCAGGCATCGCAGACAGCTGGAGCTGCCTTGCTCCCGCTCCTGCTCCCACCAGAGCACCTGGGCTGTGCTTCCGCCCCAGGACAGCCCTCTGCTCCCACCCCTCGCTGAACCAAGTAGTGGAGATGATTTTCTTCTTTCTCCCTCTGGGGTCTTTCTGCAAGACTTTCTTTAGGAAGAAGTGATCTACCCCCATTTCAGCCCGATTTCTGGGTAAGTTGTAGATTCCCTTTGCTTCAGGAGCAGCATATGGGTTCTACCAAATGAGGTTTCTCGAACTCTGCATCTTAATGTTGCAGCTTGGTTTAGGTTGGTACCAATTGTTAGGTTTATTTGGTTATACTTAACCCACCAAGAGTCCTCTGCTAATAGCAAGTAAATGCCAGATATTACCATGAAAACCACTTGCCACTTCTTTCGCTTGGGACACATGAGGTTATGTTTTATGTGACTAAATACTGATTCAGATGAAATAGATTATTTGGATAGCTATTGTGACAAGTTACATGTCAAATATATGGAAAATCTCTTTTTACTTTAAGTGAGAAATAATCTCCCAAACATTAAAAAAAACCCACCCAAACCAAACAACAAACCATAAACATAAGCTCTGTAATGGCAGTGGGATTTTTCTCAAACTGTAGAGTGTTAGTCTGGATTGCAATTGCCTGTAAGTTTTGGTCTGGTTAGTTCAGAAATTCAGTTTGTTATGTAGGTAAGAGCCAGTTGCAGCCTTTAGGTACCAATTTTGTTTCTGAAGACACTAGACATTAACGTGTTATCAGTATGGACATGAATACAGTACACTCTTTCTCTGAGAGATTGTCTGAAATACATAAATAAGAATGTGCGTTCATATTCATAGTAGGTGGTCAAAGCAGTATATGTGATTTTTAAACCCATTACCAAATAATAAGCACACAGAAAGAGCATTTTCTGAATGAATGCTTAATAATTTGACAGTAAAAAACAGACCTTGAATTTTGAAATTCATTCTTAGATTTCACTTACAGGTCTTACTTTTCCTTCAAATAGTACATCTAAGCAATCGTTTGGAGTTTGTTTTCAAATTGTATAATTTATTGCTGGAATAACTGTAAATGATTTAGTATTATGCTAGCTTGTAACACAACTAATACCTTTCTTCAGGTGTCAGGAATAGGAGATTTTTAGTTGATGTGTAGTCTTTATCCCACAAGCTGAGATATTTACAAGCAGAGAAGGATATCGTCTGAGACTGCATTGAGTACAGATCTACTACCATCTTATGGCACAATTTAAATGCTTGTGAAAGGAATTTTCAGTTATTCACCTCTATGTTATTAAAAAAATAACATTGAAGCAATAAACCAAGAATAAAAAGAGAGAGGCTCTGCTTATTTTGCTTAAAGTGTTATTGCTTCTCTTGCTAGGAGCTATATTTATGTATATATCATACATAACTCAGTGTATGTATTTTCTCAGAGAATTATTTCGTGTTTTATTTCCATTTCCAATAAATATTTCTGTTTGATTTGTTTGGAATTATAATGAAAGAAAATATAGACATTTTGCTTTTGTTCTGAAAAATAAAACCAAAACTACAACAGTGACGGCAAAGATGTTAAAAAAAGTCATAGCTTATGGAAATCCCAGGTCTGATTCAAAAAAGCATAGACACTGATACAAGTCTTTCTAAATGTCAATTGCCTTTTTATATTTAGGACCAGCTTCTTTAATGATGAAAACTGTTGAGAATCAGAGTTTTGGATGAAGGATAGTAGCATAGATTTACATTCCTAGTAACATTTTGGAATCTGTAATGTAGATTTTTGACCAGGAGGTAATTTGAACCTTTTTTACTGGTTTTGCATTCTTTCAAACCCTGGGATTTCCGTAAGCTATGACTTTTTTTAACATCTTTGCCGTCACTGTTGTAGCATCAGTGAGAGCCTTGCTTCAGGACTATCTGGATGTAGAGCAGATACTGGTGGACTAAGAGGCATGATGTGCATCTCACAGATGAACATATTGGCATGTCTTTTAGCTGCTGTTTCTAGTAGCATCAGACAGATATGCAGAATTTAGAATGGAAGAAGCACAGGGGGATGAATCATGGTAGCAACCCAAAATAAACCTTATATAGAGGCAGAAGAGTATGGATTACCCAGAGAGCACTTCCATTGCTTGGAATCCTTGATATTGCAAAGGCTAGATGCCACAGAAAGACATCTGTCTGAACTGTGTGCTCCAATTAGCCAGACATGTCAGCAGAGTATCACCATGAGAAACAAAAGCAGTAAAGGCTGCATAAGGTAACACTGATTTTCTGTGGCCATGGTTTAAGGACACAAGTCAGGTAAAGCTATGTAAAGAAAAGTAGCTTTGTATTAGTTGATAAGAAATGGTCTGTTGCTTCTGAGCACTGATGCATGTTCCTCAGTAGTAACTGACCCAATAAAACAAACTGACCTTATTAGTGCTGTGTAGACTGCTACAGATAGTTGTAAAATTACTCATTTGTTTGATGAACTAAGTTTATATCCCGACTTTTAAAAATAGACCCCCTTTTATGAGCATTTTCTTCTTAAATGCAGTAGTTTTCCCCATTCTAGTTTACAAGCCCAGAAGATCACTGAAAAGGAAGGAATGACAGCTTTATAGAGAGAAATAGTGTGAATCATTTAAAAAGAAAGAAACAATTTTGGGAAAAAAGATGACCTGGGATTATCTTCTTTCTGCTGAAAAGTTGATATTTGGAAACTGAGACCACAGCTCTCCATTGCTGTTTAAATGTAGTGGAATGCTATTCAGATTTTCATCCAATGAAGAAGCCTACCATATGTATTAATATATGCATTGATTACTTGAAATACGTATTGAATTGCATACTGGATGTCTGATTTTTCTTTATGTCTATCTGGTGTCTATGTTTGTATCTTGTCTGGCTTCTAAAATACTAATGATCCAATGAAAAATAGTATTTAATCTTTGTTTTAGTTTCTTCCAAGTTAGTAACTTGGTGACTTGCTTTTGTAAAACAAATACTTTTATACTAGTGTTACCCTGATCTTGATAAACAAAACCTATCATTTTCCTTCTAAACTGAAAATATTTAATGTATTGTAAAGACTTCTAACATCACTGGAAGTAATTAAGCAAAGTAATTATATATTAAAAGAAAATATTTTTGTGCCCTGAAGGTTATGGGAAGAAATTATGTGAATATTTGCCATTTTTTTTTCTTTCTGCTTTCACTCCTTATTTCCTGCTTTGTATGTTAGAAAGACACATTACTAATTATTTGAATGAAGGCTGAAAAAAAAATATAACTTTTTCTTCCCTCTGTCTGCCACTATGAAAGCTAAAACACTGACACATTTCCCTTCTACTTTGTGGATGTATATGAATTCATGTGATTTACAAGAAAAACTTATGATAAAAAGAGTGTTTCATGAAAACCCATTTACCCACTACTGACACTCATAAAAAGTATATCTGGAAACATCAGACTTTCCAGCTGCTTATTCTCATTAGCAGCACTAGAATTCAGAGAATACTGAGAAATGCAAATGTTCGTTGAATCTGCAAAAATCTACAAGGTAAATTGAGTCTCGTATGTTGCTAACATCACTTTTTGCTAATGAATTACAGAAAGGTACAACTGTTTTGAAATTGAAAGCAAGGCTACAAGAAGGGTCATATATTTTTAATAGTTAGATGATGCTGTACTGCAAGGAATAATAATTCACAGCAAGCAGGCATTACCTATGCCAGCCTCTTGAGGCCTGATGAAAACTAGAAACCATCTAATTTCTCCTTGTGGAAAAAAATTTGGCAGGGTAGTGTTCCCAGGGTAGAGAAGCAGCTGTGGCAGTTCTGGGATGGAAGTTCACAGCTTTGTCCCTCCTGTGGGAGAAGGTTGTTCTGACACCAGGCCCTCTGATAAGCCACATGTGTGTTGGCTGGGAGGGACAAGATGACTTCCAGTCTTCCTCTTCACTGGTTTGTTACTATTTCTGACTGTGCAGAAGACACTAATGCT